AACCAAGAGTTAGCAGATGCAATAACCTAACTGAAATCTCAGACCACAGCGTAGAGTAAAACAGATAAGAGCCATATCACAATGGAGGCTGCTGCTTCAATTGTATTGTCTAAGGTTTGGAATCTTGATTTTGCAATCTGATAATCATTTATTATTTATTCTCATTATAATTTGTATCATTGTGGGCTTCACCCAGCGGGCTCTCAGTGTGCTTGCTCCCCAGCAGACGTCTCGAGCAGCAGCTGAGGGGACGACTGAGAGATAAGGGCAATCAGAAGAGAGGCACGCTGCCAAAGCAAACAAACAGCATCTGGTGTCGCACCGTTTGTTACAGGGAAGCTCAGTTAGCTTGGTCCTCTCCGACTCCCCCTACAGCTCCAGGAGAACAAAACAGCTTCACTCTTGAGAGGAACAGGCCTTTAACAATATTTAGTGAGAACTTGAATAAAAATATGGTCATATATTCAGGTTTGGAACAGGTGAGGGGGGGAGGGCGATTGTACAGCAAGAGACAAGTTTTTGACACAAGTTTGCCCTAAAAGTAGAACCAAATAGAAGATCCACTTCCTCTTCATTGCTTCCACTAAAAAGGTTTAACAGGTCTTAGGCAAAATCCTTCACATTAAAAATATCTTTCATTGCTTGTGATTTATTATTGAAAACCACAGATTTAGTAAGAATGGAGAAACCAGCTCGAGTGCGCTAGAATTTGAAAATAACACAACCGGAAAAAAATCTGCTAACTTCCTTCCGACTTCCTTACTGAGCCCTCCTCCAACACACACGAACCCGCAACATGACAATGAGGGGCACGAAGAATAAGGTTTGTGACACAGATGGAAAGCTGACAGGGCAGGAGGCGCCATCCAGTTATTTTAGCCGGGCCGGTGGAAAAATGATGGTCGTGCTTTTTACAGCGCTAGCGGCTTCCCCCAACAGATGGACCAATGTTTTAATGTATTATTGTCAAAGCAATTAATGGTATTCATTGGCTTTCAGGATGTTAAGAGCATTCCATGGAAAGTATAAGAAAAAGTGTTTCTGAGTCCAATTACCTACCCACCCTTTAAGTAGTTGATAAGATTAATTTTACAGCGGTTGTTTGGCGTCCATTGTGGTTCATGATAACTCAAAATATGTAATAATATAATTATTATTAGAGTAGATAAGTGTAAATTGGAAAAGAGTGTCATACAGCTGGATATTGCTGATAATTATTTCGTCAGTCTTAACCCCCCCACATCATCATCCCTATACACTGATATTTCCATGAGTGTTTTTTTATCCTGAATTTCACATGTGATGAAGGACTACTGGTACATATAAAAGAGTATAAATTCAGTTATAATGAGCCACTTAAGTCACCATCACGTTCACACTGCACGTTCCAGCTCCACCTTACATGTCTGCTGATTGAAACAACCCAGTAATGAACTGGCTTCATTGATATCATTTATATATCAATTATTGGCAAAACAAACTAACAACACAGCAAGGAGGGGAATGTGGTGCAGACAGCAGACAAAAATTGAAGTAAAAATACTCAAAACCAACTCAGACCTCCAAGCTTCTACTAACCACATGTATAGACAGTATGGGAGAACAACACCTGCATGTGTTTTATATACCCATAATGGGGAGGGCAAGAGTAACTGTGTAATACCTATATTAGTGGATATCTGGTCCCTGTGTCCTGAGTGAGTTCGCTTGTTGTAGCGCAGGAAAAGGATTGGTGTTCCTTCAGGGTGAGAGCGTGTCAAAGTAACGCTGAGCCTCCGCCCTCGTGCTGTGCTCTCCACCTGGAGACAGAAGACACCACGAGATACATGTTGTGTGTTTGAACCTCTGAGCATGTACATTGTGCCTGTAATTTCATATCTGGTGTTTATGATAGAGGCTTAACTAGATACACTTATACAGTATTTATTTGTCTTTGTTTCCAGTGCTGGTCCTCACCTTCTCTACATCAGCAGGAAGCTGTCCAGAGTCTCATCGGACAGCCTTTCCCACCTCGAACATGGTCACTGCATGACTCTTTCAGGTTCTGATAGAGAAAACAAATAACATAGAGGAGTCAGGAGCACAGTCCACATCTAATTGGGATTAAATCGCCATGTCTCTATTCACTTTTTTTATCATGGGTAGAATCTGTGTGTTTTTTAGCGTCCACATTCAGTGACTGACGGAGACAGGTTGCCCATACATGAGAAGGCAGTGAGAGTGGGAGTCAAACAGGAAAGGCGATATCTTGGTGGGAGCAGCTGGGATGAATAAGCTGCTAACGCTCCTGAGTTTCTGCTGCAGAAGGCCAAATAAAAAGCAGAAATATACGGGTATACCAAATGCATAACTCCAATGAATGAACATGAATAAGTATGCAAAAGCACAACTACCTTGGCAGTCCGATTCATAGCTGAGGATATGACTATGATTTCATGTAAAATGTTCTGTGGTTTTCCAAGGTCCAACAAAACCGTGTCTCCTGTTTTAAAATAATGAAATTAGAACAACATAAATGTTTGACAAGCACTTGGATAAGATCCAATTTGTTAGTCTCAGCAACACAAACTGGCAACCTAATAGGCATAACAAAGTTGATATTAAAAACCACAAATAAAAACTCTTGGAAAAACAACTACCGTAATAATGTGAGAATGAATTCAGAAGCATAACTAAGCTTTCTGGAATATTAGCGCTGCTTCTTCAAAATTTCTTGAAAGCAATATTAAAGAAAAGAGTGCGTGTGCGTGTGTGTGGTGGGTGTGTGTGTGTGTGTGTGTGGTGTGTGTGTGCGTGTTGTTGTGTGTGTGTGTGCTGTGCGTGTGTGTGTTGGCCACTCAGACCTTCAATTCCTGGCGGTGGTGTCCGGTGTCGGTGGCTGAGGAGCCCCCTTTCCATCACCAGGACGCCCTTGGTCCCAGGACAGCAGGCCATCTTCTGAGGGTCACGGTGCTCCTGACAGAGGAGCCGAGCCACAGGAGAATAAAAGAGAGCACCATCACACAATCAAACCAATGCAGTAGTTTATTAAAACGTAATAAAAAAATTGAATATTAAAGAAATCTAATTGGTCACAATAGAATAAGTCATTTTCTGCACTTGGACTCTTTCGAGAATTATAACAAAACAGTTTTGCAGCAGCATGGGATCATGGGAGTTTGGTCAATGCAGTGGACCTTCACCGAGTTAGAATTGTTCAGGAAGATTTTTACCGTAAGCCCTATTATCAGAAAGATGTCTCCAATTATAATACTGAATAAGCAGTCACCTCACTTTAAAAAATCACTGTTTCTCTGACGCTGTTTGGCTGCCGTGTGCTCAGCTTGTTTTCTCTGGATATCTTCTAATTAACTTGTATATTTAAAAATGTCGAAGATTGTAAAAGTGTAAAGTAAAAGTCTCCTGCTTTAGACAGGTGGATAAAAGAATGTCCAGTTAAAGATTCTGGCAAACAAACACAACACTGGCGCATGCTCAGAGGCCACACGACGCCATTACAGAAGAACCAAAATGGAAATGGGACCATTAACTTTATTAAAATAGCTTGATTTGTCTCCAACTCAACAATATGTAAAACATGGCCCTTATTTATTCTTGAACAATTAAATGCATAAAGTTACTTTGAACGGACAATTGAGCAGCCCGACCAAGCAAGGAGGCAGAGGTCAAGAACGTCCAAAATTATAAAGCGGTGTGGGGATTTTATTAAAATCATTGCACATAGTTCACCCGCCTCAATCCTGCTGTTCTCCCCTGAACACATCCTGCAGCCCACAAAGGATCATCAACACATACTGACAGGAAAAACAGAACCTAAAACACCCAGACCAATCAAACCAACAAGACACAGGTGAGGGGGGGGAGGAGCCAACACAGGTGGCACCGGTGCACACAATCCAGCAACAGCACATAACGGGAGGGGGAACACTTTTCAACACAAACATATAACTGAACAGAATACACACATACAACCCAACTAAACACAAGTCAGCACTTGAACAATGAATGCCACTTAACGCTTATGATTTCTACACCTCACATATTATTTGCACCTGGATTATTCTTAACCGCTGTCCATCTACACCAGGCATAATGCACTTTCGGCGCTCTCGCTAACTCCCCTATCTTGGTCAGGCGGAGCCGAGGACCCGACAGTCACCTGACCAGAACGACATTTCAATTAATACGGTTTAATCCTTAATAAATAGCTATCTCAAGTAATTAGTATATTATATAAAATGTGCAAATATGTACAATGCCAACGGTACTGTGCAATCCACGCTAATAAAGTGCAAAACTGTTCACTAAATGGTTCACCAGGCCCGGAGCCGTCAGTCCACAGTGACAAAGTTACCTTCGTCACAGTTACATATCCTATTTTTAAAGGATGTTCTAGGTGGATGAAGGTGCAGGGCACAAACCATACCATGTGGTTTGTGCCACAGAACAATGGGAGCTATCTACCCTACCCACAATTTAAAGTAATTCACACAGACTATCTCCTCTTTACTCTTCTCTCTGTGAGGAGCAGCAGGTTCAGCTGTCAGAAGAACTAAGTGAAAAACAAACAATGGCATAAAATATTGTTAATATGTCGGGTAGTAATAGATGTATTTATTTTCTTCTCAGAGTGTACCAGAATGCGTTGTTTATATGTTAGTATTTCTAAAAATCTCCTGGGGGATAATCCCCCCCAGACGGTTGCGGTTGGGTTTTCAGCATGTGTGCCTTTTTATGTTATACAGTTCATCTTTGATTCCATCATCTCATTAAACCTTTTTTAAAAGCATACTTTAGTTCTGTGAAGGGATATACGCACTGTACTTCGCTTTAATTAATATTGTATGCTGAAAAGCGTATATATATATATTACAGCACGATTTTTTGTTGAATAGATTTGAGTGGTTAAAAACACGATTTATTGACAAAGGAAAAAGTTTTGTTCTCAAAAGGCCTGACCAGTTGAGAACCACTGGTTTAGAGTGTCTGTCTGTACATACTTGAATCTGTTGGAGGACGCAGCGTTCTTCCAGGAGGGGTGGAGCTGTTCTGCGCTGATTACATGACCTTTCTTCACAGCAAAGCCGAGGCGGCAGTACATGGAAACTGCATTCTGATAAAACATTAATAAAACAAAAATCAAAAGTTGTTTGACCCACAAAAATCTGATTCTCTTTCACCGTAATACGTCATCTACTATCATCAACTCATTCTCCTTGACTTTTACTCATGTGGAAATGTATACATTAATTATACAGCTTTTTAAAAATAAAGTACTTTCAAGGAAATCAAGCCAAAAATGTGAAGAATCTTGAAGCCTTTCTCCTCACAAAAGAGTTGGACAAACTCTGTGTACTTTAGGTGAGGATAGACAATAAGCATGGGAAATGAAAAGGCGAAAAACTAAGTGGATCGCACCACTTACTCACAGTATGGTTTTTTCGAGACGGCGGGTGGCAACATTTTTTAGCTTTCCTTTTAAAATAGCTGTCTTCCTGTATGATTGCTTGTGAAACATCTCAAAATAAGAACATTGCTTTTTTTCTCACTAGGTCGGGTTCTACTGACAACAATGTTGACTTGTGAAGGTCTAAGAGAGACTGGATGCTACCTGGATACTCTTTCAGGTCAGGCTCTCTCAACACCAAGCAGGAATTACAATAACAAGTCATTCATTGTTGATGGTACCAAATCCAAAAGGGTAAAACTTCAACATTTCCACTAAACAGTCAGCTGGCTTCCTTAAAGTGGTCAACTGGGCTTGCCCTTTCAGATTTTATTCAGGTCATCTCAATGAAGTTAGGGGCTTGATTGCTTCTTACATCTCAACACACAGAGGTGCAAGCCGAGTTCAACTCTTAGCCTTCCTCTTACCATATCAAAAGAGAGCGAGGATTTATTTTTTCAAGTGACTCAGGCCATGAGACTGTCATTACACAAGAGAAACTTAAACCTAAGTCACAATGGGAAAGGGTTCTGCACAAAGGAGACCTCTCAGACATCTCAATCAACTCTGAAGTTACTGGCTTTCTCCTGGAGAACCGCGGCTTCCTCAGCCTTCAGCCGTTTCTCTTAAGTGCTGCTTTTAAGCTGCAGGCATGAACTGAGGCAGAGGGAGGGAGGGGAGTTCAGCTCTTCACACCGGAGGTCACAACACTGGGAGTTTGGCTCAGTGTCTGATCGAGAGTGAATAGGAAACTGGGAAAAACTGGGTCAAACTCGAGCACCAATTCAACTGGAATGGTGCTGCTCAGCCCTCATCAGGCATGGGGTGGGTGTGTGGGTGTGTGTGTCACAGGCTATCTCTCAGATGTGTTTCTGTGGGAGCGTGTGTGTGTTCAGAATGAATTATGAAATCAACTTGCTAAGCTACATATTATCTACATATTATCCCTCCTTTCTCATTCATTTGCACACAATTTAATTAAAAATTCTTATGGCCAATCTACAACTCCGACAAATGTGTTATACAACACATTACCGGTAGTCAAATTTGATAAAAGCATGCCTTCTGAAAGCAAACACTAAAGGAACACGTTTAAATACAAATGCTTTGTTGTATCAGCTTTCATGCCAAACTTTCATCTCAATATTTGGCTCAGAAAAACGAATTGGCAAAAAAGTGAAGAAGGTTGTTCACTTCATTGCTTTCCGCTGCTACACTGTGTGCTTTCAAAACATACAGAGAGGAAAAAAAGCATCTCTCAAAATCTCTTCAAAATCAAAGTGGAACCAGAGGAAATTACCCTGTTTTGTTGATGTCAATTTTGGAAAGCGGCGCAATAGTCCCCAGATCTACCACTTTGCCTTCCTCTTGTGAAAAACAAAACTTTAGTATGTATATTACGATAGAAACATTCTGCAGCAAGTGGATACCAACCTTCACCAAGTCCAAGTCAATCTCCAACACATTCGCCAGCTGGGGGGGGGGGGGGGGGAAATAAAAAAAATAAAAATAGGACTCAGTTGAAAAGTTCTTTGAACACACAGTCATACAGTGGGGCAAAAAAGTATTTAGTCAGCCACCAATTGTGCAAGTTCTCCCACTTAAAAAGATGAGAGGCCTGTAATTTTCATCCTAGGTATACCTCAACTATGAGAGACAAAATGAGAAAAAAAAAGATCCAGAAAATCACATTGTCTGATTTTTGAAGAATTTATTGGCAAATTATGGTGGAAAATAAGTATTTGGTCACCTACAGACAAACAAATTCTCTAGCCTCTCACAGAAAGAAACCATGGGGGTGGAAAGAAGTCATTTTTTAGGGCTGTTGTGGCCATTGAAGATGAAACGTGGCTGGTCCTTTCAGCATGACAATGATCCCAAACACACCGCCCGGGGCAACGAAGGATGCTTCGCAAGAAGCATTTCAAGGTCCTGCGAGTGGACTAGCCAGTCCTCCAGATCTCAAGCCCATAGAAAATCTTGGAGGGAGTTGAAGAGTCCATGTTGCCCCCAGCGACAGCCCCAAAAACATCACTGCTCTAGAGGAGATCTGCATGGGAGGAAGTGGCCAAAATACCAGCCACAGTGGTGAAAACCTTGTGAAGACTTACAGAAACACGTTTGACCTCTGTCATTGCAAAGAAGGGTATATAAAAATAGTATTGAGATGAACTTTTGTTATTGACCAACATACTTAATTTACACCATAATTTGGCAAATTAAAGTCTTTAAAAATCAACCAATGTGATTTTCTGGATTTGTTTTTCTCCATTTTGTCCTCTCATAGTTGCAGGTATCTAGGATGAAAATTACAGGCCTCACATCTTTTTAAGTGGGAGAACTTGCACAATTGGTGCGCGCTGACTAAATATTTTTTGCCCTCACTGCTACCGTCATTGAGACACACAACAGGAGAGAACAGCAAAAGGTGTTTCGTGTAAGCCTACCTCCGCTACGTCGTCTCGTCATCAATGGACACAAAGATCTTGTAGGTAGTGTTTCAAAGTAAATCGCCTTGGAAGCCGGCTTCATGACAAAGCCTTCCAGCGGGGGAACTGAAACACGCAGAGGGGATGAACACACATTCCATACACTACTACTCTTTTTTAAAACATAAGTTCAGCGGTTTGCAAAAAAGTTGTTTGTTTTAAATACTGTATGTATCTTTATTCTGACACCTATTAGGCCTCGTTTCAGATCAGTCAATTACCCAATAATCACAGCTTATTTCCCCACAGTTGTATTAAGGTAAATATGCGTTCAGTCAAGGAAATACTGCAGGGGGGTTAATGGGCAGGCATGTCACTCAAACCACGACACACTCACACAACACACATCACACACACACAACACACACACACGACACACACACACACCACACACGACACACACACCACACACACACACACAACACACACACACACACAACACCGACACCACAGCACACACACACACACACACACACACACACACCACACACACACACACCACACACACACACACACACACACACACCCTGAGATGCAGCTGTCCATCAGATCATGCGAAATCCACGTATATGACAGGCCCCGGTTGTAACAAGCCTAGAGTGAAAAGACAAGATATACTTCTAAAATACAAATTGTTATTGTTAACCATGTACACAGTTTCGTTCTGTGTATTGCACATATGATCAATGGCTTAATAAATCTCATCTGAACTGTACTTGTAATTTAAATTCCCTGTGACTCCTGTATACTACATTGTATTTAGTTCCAACTCATCCGCAGCACTCCAGTGGCCGGGGTGCAATACTGTGAAACTCTTCTTTAATTACACATTTCAAAGTGCGCTGGACACGACCCGCAGCCCCTCTGCTCTGCATCTGTGATATTCCAACATACATACTCATAATGAATTTTGCCTCTTGCTAGCTGAATTTGAAAGATGCTAACTCAACGTTATCCTTTATGCCAACAAATGTAATTTATATCAAAAGAAGTTTAGTTCTGAAGGTTCATTCATCCTGTGACAGCAGGCAGATCACAAAACTAATAAACAAAACTACCTCAGCCGCTCAGTCCCGCAACTGCTACTTGCAGATTTTGGTAATGCTTCCATCGCTGCACCAGGTAAAACTATTTAAACACACTCACATTCCATAATACTTAATCTTGTTGCGTTGCAGCATAAGGATTGTAAAGCCGTAAAAGAGAGTAGCTTTGGGGAAGCTTTGTTCCAAATATCCTGCTTAAACCGGTGTAAAGGGTGGGACAGGGAGACTAGAAACAAGTCTAATTTGGAAAAAAGCAAGAACAGTGAAGCAACCCACTCTGAAGTGCTTTGTGTTTGTTTCAGTCCACCTCAATTAAATATAGAGATTCACCGGGGAACAGACTGGGAGACATATTCTTAATACAAACA